AAGTCTCGTGCCCCCCCCCGTTCTCAACGAGATCTCGGAGGCCATTTTGCAAATAAATTTTTAAAATGCAACAATTAATGTTACTCTCTGACATGTCTGACAAGAAATACTAACACGGCGTAGACTGAGCACCGTGATACCGCTGGGAGTAACAGGAATATGTGCCAATTGTAAAATAAATATTATATATTATTGTTTTCAAATGTGCCCTTAACGTCTGAATGCGAGCTACTGTTACGTCGTATCGAGAACAAAACTTCATTGAAGGTTACAGCCACGTCATGTCACAGTTTTATATTTTTACGAGGTTGGCATCAGCGAAGGATGAAATCACTTTAACAGATTTTAACGCCGCAATATTAAAGGACGGAAGTCGTCGTGCCGCGTCCTGTTCGATAAGGGACTCATAGCGACGTATACAACGCGTGTAAAATACATGGTTTATTTACATGAAATTCGAACACGCGCTGTGCGACGACCACCACGCTTTAAACATTGACGTAGCAGAGCGAATCTAGCGCATGCGGTCAACGAAATGAAAAGAACAATTCCTGACAAATTTCATTTTTTTTAATATTAACACAATTCTATAAAGATTGCGTAATCACGTCTGTTGTGGTTTTCACGGAAGGTGAATGAAGCGGTCAATTAATTTGTTTAAAAGGTACAAACACACTAAATCTGTTTTATACGCCCATCTACATAACAAAACACAATTTCGATATTTCCAGATTTTAGTTAATATTCAATTGATGTAGTAGCACATGACGACGAGTGGGCGTTTAGTGTTGTGTACAGTGGGACGTGGCTATAAAATTACAAATGTAGTCAATAACTTGGACGGAATACGAAGAATTGAGTTGTTTCACTGAAGGTTAGAATGTATGGTACTTTATAGGTTGGACTATTATTTCCCATGGGGGTGGATAGGTTTCATTTTTCGCGCCGATTATTTTGATTTGGTTGACTTGGTAATGTGTCATTCCAAGTCGCCAGGTGTTCCTTATTCAGGTTTCTTTATATATCGCCCTCCCAATATCCTAGAAATCTCAACTTAATGCGGACCCCCTTACAGAGACAGCCTGTATAATATTTATCATTATTCGTCGTGAATGACGTCTGTTTTTGTCAAACACACTGAGGGGGTGGTCACGTGACGTGCCAGGTCGATTTTCATCTACGAACGTCACAATCGTCAATTAACGGCATATTAATAACAAGGGAATAAATCTATTTTTCGAGATACGCCCGAAAAAAAAATGTATTCACGTTTCATTTCTATACGCACAAAAATCGCATTCGACAAGAGCATCCAATATTACAGCGTCGTGTTCAGAATGAAAGACCACACAATACACGAGTAATTCGTCGCCATGGCGACGGCTAAGGTTGAATAACAAAATATTAAAAGAAAAGTGAATGGCGATATAATAAACGTCAGACCCTAAAAGTATATAGGGTTCGCTTCTGAATGCATGTACGACAGTTCGATGATAAAATACTAAACACAGACTTGGCGTAAACTTAAAACGAAAGACAGCACCCGCCATTGTTTTTGAGTGCGAGATTAAAATACAAGTTGTAATGAATTTGTATCTAAAAATCCGTTTTAGGAGTAATGAAGCCTCATATGCATTGAGATGACACTACAATGGTTTATCTGTCACCCTACTCGATACAAAGGAGCGAAAAGTATCATAATACCGGCAATGCTGATTAAATGAGCTCATGACACATCATTACTGTGTTTCCTTAAACAGCATAGAATGGTCGAGCACGGCGCACCGGGGACAATACACTAGTAGCATACATGAGTTACTGAAATAGTGTCAATTAATAATAATAATAAACTTGTATTACGTCATTCCGACAATTATTTTGTACAATCTATGAATATACCATTTATATATTAATATTTTATTAAAGCGTTGTCGATTATTTGGGGAGGACTTGAAACAGTAGTACAGTAATAGTAGTATGCACATGCGTCATGTTTTTGGGACATCAAATATTATTTTTTTTTTATTTTCACAGAGATGACATCTTATGTCACAGGGATGACGTCAATGAAATAAAAATAATAGGGTCGTGGATGTACAAAATGGAGTGAAAATAACATTTCTTGTCTGTTTTGGGGCATGTTACTATTGTTTCCTATAGCAAAGTTATATCTCAATAACTGACAATTTTGGTCTGGTGAAAAATTATAGTGGCTTATAAGTGGTTTCAGACTCCATGCCTTGAAGTATTACACAATTTTCATTATTTTAGTGCATTTTAAAAGATGAAATGTGTTTGCATTGTTGTTTACACCTCACTGTTATACTAAATACTATAAAAATAATACAAGTTGTCAATTTATGCATACATTCGACAATGAATAATAAAATTAATTATAGACAGCGTTTGACACGAAATATTGACACTGTCATATGCGCTAAAATATGCGCACAAGTCAAAATTTAGAGTACGAAAGTGACGTCATACAACGGCGCTCAAAGGTATTTCAGTAGACTTCTCTCTTGCCGCTAGAGACTGTAAGGAAAGGGGTAACCTTATAGAATGGATATCCAAACACATTCCAATTAAATAAACAGTTACGGAGATTGCAAAAAAAAAAAAAAAAAAAAAAACACGGAATGCGCATTGTACTAGTGTTATTTTTTTTGTCACGTTTGAAAACTGAAGAAATTTTGTTTATTACTTATTCAATTAACCCACTGCACCGTCAATATAACTGCAGCGGATTTCGAACCCGACCCGGCAGTTCTACGTCATCGGGCTTCCTCATAGTCACGTGGTACGCCGATAGTGCACAAGTGCATTTGTGGTAGTTTATTTTGAAAGGTTTATAGTATAATATGTGTTACCATATCGTAAGTAATGTTTGCTTATCGGCCGCATGTCGACATGATGGAAACTACGCACACAAGCATCAATCGACGTGCAGTGACCTCAGTCGCTAGCACATCGGATGTAGTTGCGCACAACAAGAATATTGATGTACAATTTCCACGGGCTACTAGACAACACGTGTACTCGTACATCTGCGCTCCGAGAAAGCGCAATTAATCTGGTGGGGAGCTTAACATGTTATTAACAGCCATCTCGCGGATTACTCTACTAAATCCTTGAATAATATTAAGAAGGAATAACTTTCAAATATGACGTCACATCAATATCTTGTGAATTGTATTTCAAAACAGCGATAAGTGAAATTTTCAATTAAAAAAAAACGTTTTACATCATTGTGTTGGTGTAAGCGATGTGGTTACCCGGGTACCGTGGCAACTACGAATCGTAATGTGACTACTGCATCGGACTGGGCACGCGAGATGTGCGCAAACAACGCGAGAAAAGTGACTATTTTAATATGGTGTTGTGGTGTACAAATTAGACTAGATCGGTTAGATTATCACAGTCCTGATCACAGGATACAAGGCGTTCATCAAGTGATTGACATTTGATAGTCTCACAACAGGTGAATGTAAACGAGAGATGTTATCAAAAAACGTTGTGGGAATTGATGAACAAGAACTAATTTTCACTCTATTTTTTTCATTTTGATGCAGAGCAGCATAATAGTATTGAATGCGCCATTTTAAAAATTTTCCCCAATTATACGTACTGAACGTCATTTGCAGATTTTGCCAGCCAAAACTGTGTCGAATCACGTTTTCAATGCAAAAAAAGACATTATTTTCATGGCGGGAAGCAGAGAATTGAAGGCCTCTCTGTCATTCAATATTACTTTCGACGAAATATTCGTAATTAATTCCAATTTTTTTTATTATAAGCGTTGTGCATTCGCTAGTGGAATTAATTTTGCCCAGACGTATTTCTAAAATTAATATCTGCGTTTTCGGCAACTATTCTACGCGTGACGTCATTCAATATACCTTTGTTCCGCCTTCAATAAAGGGTTGCGTGTGTTAAAAAATAGTATGCGCGACCACTTCATTTCATTCCTTTGAACGGTGAATAACATTTACGACAGAAAATGCGAGTATTTTTTAGACGTGTGTGATTTTCTCTTCCAATTAAAGCATTTTTACGGTTTACATGTAACGACATGATTTCATGATCATCAATCTAATAAGCCCGATAAATTTACAACCTCCGATTCGCATGGTGTTTGTCCCTCGGTAAATATACGATGACTCGGGAAGTCGACCAATACAAGGTGCGATAACGAATCTACTCCATGAGTCCTTAGGTTTCGGGCGTTCATTCTATTATATTATATTCGATTGCGTCGTCAACGTGTACTGGTTCGTCCATATCAACTTTGAACCACTCGACTACAAAGCTCTAGATTTCGCGGTAATTCAAATAAAAAAAAACATTTGTATGTCGTCGTGTGCGATATATTTGGGCACCGATCAAGAACTACGAAGAAGATGGCGGGTTTGATGACATACTCTGACCAAAAATAATACGTGATACTGAAAACGGTAATTCCAGGCACATGTAAGAGAGCGGTACAGTACAAAACTATCTCGCAAAAATATTCTACGATTGAGGGGAAAATTAATGTGTTACCATGGTAATTATTTATACTGAGAACTGTTGACTTGATTGGACGAGTTCAATAAAATTTGACCCCATTCATTAGTAAGAGAGCAATATTACTAGAACCTCTGTCATTAGGTTCATTCAATTGGGTTGCCTTTTCAGTAACAATATTTCACAACGTTTAGTTGGCGACCCCCAAGGCTCTCTACATGATTTGCCCATTACCTCCAGTTTACCCCCGACCAGGTTAAACACTTGCGCATGCGCCACATTCGACAAAATCTGTTGTATTCTGTTCGAATACAATTTTGTTAGAATACAATTTCTGATAGAATGTCAGACCAAAAAAAGCTCACGTCATTGTATTTTTTTAATTAAACATCCCTTTTGTCGGTACGTGAAAACTGATTTAGCCACGTGATGAAATATCGCGTTTCACAGTAACCAGTGTTCCCAGAGTAAATAACAAACTAGAGGCAATAGGATTAAGTTTCGAGGAAAAAAGTTTACCATTTTATTCGGTAGAAAATCGCTAGTTGAATATTCTATATTCCCATACTCTGTATTCATAAGGCGCCAAATGAGATGAAGGTTCGATGTATGATGAAGATCAAATATGGCGGCCATCTTTAAAAATGAACCCACGATTGACAATTAAAAGTATTCCACATATTTAACCTTCATGTGACTTCAAAAAATAAATAAAAATACACTAGAAACGAACTTTAAAACTACACCGTATATTCGCCAAGGTAATCTTTAAAATTACAGAACTTATCCTAAAAGCGACGCTGAAATGGTCGGTAAAATGGAAAATGGCGTACTGAGGCAGTGAACAGCAAAATGGAGAGACGAATGTTGTGTTACAAATAAAGTGCATATATAAAAGACGCTTGATGTTGTGCACAGATCTGTACAATATTTAAACAGGATGACAGAACATAAAAATATTCCACATGCCAGGCGTTTCAGACTCCCCTTCTCCCGTTGGCCTTGAAGCAATCTGAAATTACAACTGCACCCATGTTTCGGGTTTTCAGAGAATCAACACTTCACGAAAATGAATAAAAAACATTTCAATTAAAAATAGAATCCGAGACTGAGAAATGTCGTACCATGGCGGGATTCAATTAAACGTGCTGCTACTCTACGCTGTAGCCGGGGGTCCTTACTATATTTTCAATGCGCATTAATATTAATAATAACAGAGCTTACGGAGATATATATAAATATGTTCTGTCATCCATAGGGCAGCGCACATGGATTTTCTCCTACTATACGCAAATTACAGAATTCCGTCATGGTTAGCATTTTGCCGGGATGGCCGAGATATTGACATTGACTCACCGGGACTTCCCTCCCTGGTCTTCCCTACAATTATCTCCTTTTTTAGTAGTACCGTGTGTCATATAACACCAAACGAAAACAGACGATAATGCGATGTCTGTGGTTTAATTATTAATTTTTGGCGCGTTTTCGTTGAAAATGTACATGCACGTACTTTGGGACATGGTTGGTGAATACCCCCAGAAAAATGACCGTGTCGAACAGAAGGGTACTTTTAACTTTTGGTACTCATACTTATCCTAAATCGGCCGTATCAATGTACTATGGAATGAGACGGTCTCAATGGCGGGTCGTATCTAAAAATAGCCACAAACACAATCAAACATGTGTGCTATGACGTCTTGTGGAGAAGCCAGCATTTAAGGGGCGATTCAAAGTAAGCTAATAAACGGGAGGGGTTAGTATTCTTAGCACTTGCCGCTCGTAGAAACGTCTGCCGGAACTAGATGCGATAGAAGTGTGCATTATTAATGTCATAACGAAGATAAAAATGAACGCATATGGCGATGATGAGGGCGGCGCACTAATTAGTCGTTCCCATCGACACTGGAGACCCATAACAGCCGTGTCTATTTTTAGTAAGCAGTTGTATCGTTTTTCTAACGGGGGGCCCTGCACTCGCCTGAAATTATGTGGGGATTCGACTTCTCCCATTAGTATTTACCGTATAAGCTACAAAGATTAACCAGACTAGGAAGTGAACTTGTACGCCGAGGTCGGTGCTAAAACACCCCGACATCGGAATATGAAAATATCTGGAAAGACAGGGATGAATACCCCCAAATCTTCCCGAGGTCATTGACCAAAGCGGGAATTAAATATCTAAATAAAGATATGCCCGGGCACCCGTGTACTGTGGTTTTGGAATCTATTTACATACCTATACAATAAATTAATCGACAAAACGGAATAAAATAGTATTATTTACAAAAAAAATATGATAATATTCAAGGTTCGAAGAAGTTTATAAACATACAAAATGCGTCATCATATTGCTCAACGGTTCTTTGGGATAAAACACACAAATTAAAAATTGTCGCCATAAACCCACTAATTCTTCCATCCATGTATTTTAAAATAAATAAACACATTGGAGGAAGAAGTTGTATAAATAAAAAAAGTGGCAAAATGGGCATTGTTTTTCCACAGTGAAATTCCCTGGATCCATGGGATACGAATGAAACAAATTACTACGTTGTGGTTCAATGAAGAGACAATTTGGGGGGGGGGCAAGAGTGCGTGTCGCAGCTTGGTGCACGTGAAAAATATTGCATAAAACACTCATGAAAAAACTTAACAAATTTTGGAGAAAGACGATGATGTTCAAGGTATTTAGAAGTTTAGAGTCTCTGCATAACACAAACTAATCTTAACGCAGACTCTTGTAGCAATGTTGACCTAGAAAAGCCCACAGTTGGTGCTTCTAGAAATAGTATTGCAATAATCTTGTCATATCAGCCGCCGCATAGCTATATTTGAGACAAGCTGACGGATTTATCTATTTGAGTAGCTTAGGATTGCATTGTTTTAAAAAAAATGTGTATGAAAACAAAAATACGCAACTCGTAATGAACGCTGAGATTAATAAGGAATGGACAATACCTTGTTGACGGTTAGCAGTCACCGGCCCGTGGGGTGGGGTTTAAATTGTATGTATAGTGTTTATAAATACATGGTCGTGGGCATGCGCACACATACGCCAATGCCCGTGATTCTTTGCGTATTTACCCACTGTCCCCACCGACAATCCATTGTCAAATTGTTGTGTGTATTCGCACATGGTAGTGCATATTTGACTGCTGCGGGCGCCGAAGTACCCCAAATTGAAACGACGACTTGTTGTGCACAATAACACGAGCAAATTCCAGATTCCTTCAATTTAGATCGACGCCCTTTTCCGGCTGTTCAACGCTTGGTACTGTAGAAACGTGTGCTCATCTGCGAACCCGTTATAGATGTCGTTAATTGGCTGCAACTGAAAAGAATTTCCTGGGTATTTTTTTGACCCCGCGTTACTGTAAGAATATTTTTTCCGTCTACTAAAACAAGTGCATGGACAGATCTTCGAAATTGTACTTTTGATTTCCGGGTAAGGCGCAGGGTGAGGTGTATGGTAATGGGTTGTGTCATACCCTCTCAGATCCACATGATGTGCCTCGATGCTATTGCCGTGAAACTCCCTTAGTTCCTGATCTCTTTGTATCTCGGCTTCTCTCTGAGCCTGCTGTTCCCTGCGTTCGTCCTCTGTGTTCAGCGTGAGCAGTCTCAGCACGAGCAAATTCAGCGATGCTCCCACAACCGTCAAGCCGATAAGAATATACATCAGAGTGAACGCAACATACTCCGGTTCATATTGTAGCGCATTCTGTTTCTGCAGTGCGACATAGTCGCCAAAACCTATTGTAGTCAACGTTATAAATATATAGTAATAAGCATCTATCCAAGACCAATCCTCAAAATATGTAAAAGCAAAAGCTCCGGAGACTGTAATAACAGATACATTAAACGCGCCAACCATCACCAGGTTCGTATGTGATACCTCCGTGTTTCTAAATCCTGCACATTTCTTGATATGCCGCAGTAAATAGGCGGTAAAAACGTTAAGTCTCTCGCCGATGCTCTGAAACATCACCAGGCTGAGCGGTATTCCTATTAAGGCATACCCCATACAAAACAGCTTGCCGCCGATAGTCAAAGGCGCTGTGTGACCATATCCTTCAGTTTAGAGACAGGAGAGAATAAAATGAAAAAAAATAACATATTAATAATAAGATTTTTGAACATTGCGTAATATTTAATTGTGTTAACGTGGCGTAGTGTTAAGAAGATTTAGCAATGCGATGCATTCTGAAAAAACCCGATGAAACTTGACATAACAAGAATATTGGTAAATTCCATTATACAAATAACCGAGGTTAGCATACTCGTATTATATGCATACTAGATTGGGTGCTAGTACTGTGCTACACGCATTTAGGCACATCAGCTTTACGTTTAAAAAGTACGCGATAAACGGGTGGGACGATTACGATTAAGAATCAAGCGCCGAATTAAAGACATGCAAAAGAGCCGTCTAGACGAGAGAGATGTATATCCCAGCAGAAGGGGGTTTGATGTGTGTAGCTTGGGCGTGTACTCAAATCCGTCGATCGAATGATCACTAGCGGTCGGAGAATGAACGTATTTCTCTCTCTCAGTAAATAAACTGCACCCTACATAGTGTACACCGTATATTGACAATACGCAATAATAATAAAGAACAGGCAGTAAGGAGAGTTGTGTGTAATGTCGTGCAAAAGATTGGATGAAGAGGGCGTACTAAAACTGGTGCACGGTTTAAATGCCTCGTCATTTGTAGAAACCGTATTGTGGCATAAAATAGAAGAAACGTATTTTTATTCCTAACATTAAAAAATGCGAAATTGAATTATGCGCGTTCGACGGGAGCTTGGTTTTAGCCTGCTGTGTAAACTACACTGCGGGTAGCTCGCATTGAGTGCGCACAATCGAATGAAGCGTAGGTACGTAATATGTGCTCTGGTTGACGTACATGACTACAGGAGAGCTCGGCCTTGAGCACACCGCACCGACAGCACGGCGAAATGTCATAAAGCGTTAACATTGATGAGTTGTACAAGGCGATGCCAACGAGACAATCAATGCAACATGTACGTTAGATAAGCTGAATTGGTAAATTCATATGGGTATTATCAGCGAGCCATGGACAGAGTAAAGCTATCGCTAGGCAGGCACTGTGTGTTGTAGTACTATACTGACCATTCACAACCGAAATCTCATTCAAAACGATACTAACCTATTGTAGTGATTACCGTCGTGGCGAAATAAAACGAGCCGGAGAATTTCCACTGTATACCGGCCTTGAGCGGGACTAACTTGATTATTACATGTACCAGTTCGTCGTATTCCGTGTCGTTGGTTATATTGAATCGCCGTCGTATCTCATTCTCCCGTTCGTAATAGTAATGTCGTTCTGACTCTTCTTTGTCGGACTCGAAGGCGTCGAACACAGCAGCACCGATCAACAAATATGTGAATTCGCAAACGATCAGCGACAGCGTCCGAACGTTTTGCTTCTTCATTTTTCAGCTAGAGGAAGAATAAACCTTCTAATTCCAAAGCCATATTGTATTGAATCACTCCGACGATACCCGCAGTTGTAGTCTTCGCTAGGTTAGGTTGCTGCTGGATGTTGCTTTCACTACTGCCGTCTAAAGCGATGCGCAGAACCCGCGAGAATTGTCAACAGAATGCGCAGGTTAATGAATATGTAACATTTACTGATGTGAACACCAGCTGGCGTTGCACACGATTATTTCAAATCCAATCCCCCGTACTCAGCGGCGGAACTTTTGAAAGGGGTGGTGTTTATTTGACTTGCAGCAACAACTTTATCTCATGTGATACTCGCCCTATTGCAGCGATAATATTGATCAGTCGGTTTCAGACGAAATGTATTAAGAAAATCACCGTTTTACCAGGACAGTTGTGGATCGTTTATAGTATTCACACACCCGACAGATTGCGTAACTCTCGCGGTTGCTATAGCGATGAGCTGCCAAGTTACATACGCGGATGGGTCATAACTGATGCGCACGCATCTCTCTTGTCACGCTGTCTTATCACTGTGCTGACGTCACAAACAATTAAGCGAAGTTGTAATTGTTTTCAACTACCCAGGATTCACGGCTGGTGACTAACGTGCCGGGTAGATTTCAATCCTGCGGAAAAAAAAAATAGTCACACTCATTAAAATTTAACATGCAGTAACACGGAATTTGGTTCTTTATACTTCACGTTGTCCATGATTACTCGTTGCGAGTTCTGTAATTGTTTATAGGCAGCCAGAGGCACGCCGAAACACGCGATCATTCTAACTTGCCCACAGATGTGG